CCGAGAGGGCTCAGAGACCTCCACGGTAGAGGATCGACCTCCATCCTGGCGGTTGCTTGACCTCAAGTATGAACGTGCGTGGAGAGCGTGTTTCCTTTTTCGCGATAGCTGCTGTTACCGACCCAAGTCGCCCCCTCCCCCCCAAGGTAACGTTACGATTCGTGCTGACCTCCGAACTGCCTTTGGTTATTCCTAAACATTCCCAGACAGCGCTGGCGCGAAACGTGACGTTCCCGGCCCCCCGCCCCCTCCTCGTCCCCCCCGTAACGCCCGTTGTCGTCCAGGGATAAAAAAAAACGATCTCTTGGGGCTCCTCGGGAGTTCCTTCCCCCCCTCGACGTCGTCCCGTCGTGCTTCGCTCTCTGGACCGCCGAGGATCCCGAGGACTCCGAAACCTCTACGGTAGAGGATCACCCTGCATCCTGGTAGTTGCTTGACCTCCACTCTGGACGTGCTTTCCTGCGTTTGCGATGCTTAGGAGCCTGTGGGTGATTATGGGAGCTACGACCGACTGTGAAGAAGGACTGCATCACTCGCCCTCCTCTCCAGGTCTCAAGCAATTGTGAATCGGCTGCGACTCGGACTGGTGGAAGGAAGGATGAATGTATGGACTGAAGTAATGACTGCTGCATGGATGCAAGGATCTGCGGAGGAACGTCAAGGAACATGCACCATCGCCAACCTCTCCATCGGCTGAAAGACCAAATGCACCTGACTTTCTCGGAGCCCCACAACCAACAACTTAGAACGCAAGCCCGAAAACACAAAGAACAACACAACGAGTTCCGCATTGTGTCTGAGCAGCGGCTGTAAGGGAGGACAATGTGTGAATTTTGTGCTGGTGCTTCGGGCTCAACCCTTTTCAACGAGTGCTCGGCACTGCGTTTCCGACAGATATCGTTGACTCAGTGGTATCTGGGCCCCAGGCTCGGATACTGCCTGTGTGTTGGGAGGGCGGGTGGAAGTGAGAGACCCGGCTTGCGGCTTGGGGTAGCTTGACCCCTGGCCCTACCCCTCCCTGCGGGCCTGGACGGGAGGGGCGGGGAGGCATTAGAGCGTCCAAGGTGGCCCAAGATGGCTCCAAGAGCCCCCGAGAGCTCAAGATGACCTCCAAAATGGCGCAAGATAGCGCAAGATCGTTCAAGATGGCGTCCAGCCGCTCCAAGAGACCCAAAGACCTCTCCAAAAAGGGTCCAAATGGCCACAGAGCCTCCCAAAGGACGCCCCCGAGAGGCCAAAGTTCGTTCAACACCTAAGTGGTGTCTTCCCGCCTTCTCGCCTCCGACGGGCTTTGAAAATTACGTATCCTCCCTTCGCTTAAAGCCAACATCAGTCAAAACCCTTTGATTGCTCACAGATAGCGGCATCCTTAGGAGGCGCCTGGGCCAATAACTCCAGGATGGCCTCCAGGATGGCATCCAAGAATGCTCGAGATGTCCTAGGATGGCTCAAGGTGGCCACCAGTGTGCCTCCAAGAGCCCCCAAGACCGCTCCAAGGCGGCTTCGAGTGACCGCGGAGCTCTCCCCAAGGAGGTCCCAAAGATGCCCAAACCTGTCCAAAACCGAAGGAAACATGTTATGTGTGCCTTCTCACCGTGTTGTCGTCCGATGGGCGTGTAAGGTCTCAAGCTCGAGGTGGCTCCAGGATTGCCAAAAAGGGCACCAGGAGAGTCCCGGTATGGCCACAGGCAGCCCCAAGGGCGTTGAACAGCGCCCCAAGAGGGTTCAAAGACACGAAGCTGTAGGCACCAGAGGGGCGACGCTGTTAAGAGACCTCACCTTCTTTATCGGTGTCCTCGAGAGATGGCCCCAAGAGGCCCCGTGGGGCCTCCAAGAGTGCTCCAAGACGACCACAGGAGGGCCCTGGAAGCACCAACAAAACGGCCCAAGAGGGCCCCAAGATGGTTCCGAGAGGCCTCCAGAAGCTCCCAGAGCCAACGTACGAAAATTCACGCATGTTTTAATCGACGTCGTCGGCGTCGTCATCGTCTCGTCTCCAGCGCCTTCTCCTCTCTTCTCCTTCTCTTCCTCCTCCTCCTCCTCATTTCCATCATCGTCCTCATCCTCCGCCTTTTCCTCCACCCTCCTCCTCCTCCTCCTCCTCGTCATCCTCCTCATCCTCCTGCTCCCCCCCCCTCCTCATCATCACTCTGTTCCTCCTCCCAACAGGGGTTAACCAGAAATTTAGTGAAAACGCGTTCACCCGAAATCATCCTCCTGATCGCATTCCTCCTCGTCTTGCTCCTCCCACGCCTCCCATCGTCCGTCCTCCTCCTCCTCCTCCTCCTCCTCCTCCTCCTCCACCTCTTCATCTTCCCCTGCGTGCCTCACCCTTCTCCTCGTTCGGATTCATGCGTGCCTCACCCTTCTCCTCCGCCGTTCCTTGTTCGACAGGTCCGCGAAGGCACATGTGTCTCAACCCTGGGCCTGCCCAGGCTGATCCCACACACGCGTTGGCGACTTCCCCAACTCGCTGTTCCACTGCATGCTCCCCCTCTGCCCTCATCGAGGCAATTCGCCTGGGCATCGTTGCTGCAAGGGCTGGTGGGGACACGAGAAGCGTCAAGAAGTCTGAAATGTAGCGAGAGCGCACTGCCTGGTCACCTTCCAGCGTCATCACTGCCATCGTCATCCCCATCGTCATCGTCGTCGTCGCACTGCCTGGTCGCCTCCCACCGTCGTCATCGGCATCATCATCGTCATCATCAGCACCATCATCGTCATCATCATCAGCATCCTCATCATCATCCTCATCATCATCATCATCATCATCATCATCATCAGCATTATCAGCATCATCAACAACATAATCATCAGCAGCATCATCATCAGCATCAAAATCAGCATCAGCATCAGCATCAGCATCATCAGCGTCATCACCATCAGCAGCAACAACACCAACATTGTCGTCGTCAGCATCATCAACATCATCACCATCACCAGCCACAACAGCAGTATCAGCATGGTGACCGTCATCAGCCACCCCTCAATCATCCGCCTTTTCATAATCATCATCAACACCATCATCAGCATCCGCATCCGCATTGTCAGTATCATCATCAGCAGCATCAGCATAAGCATCAGCATCACCACCACCACCAAATTCATCATTATAATCGTGAGCATCGTCATCATAATCGTCATCATCATCAGCATCATCATCAGCACCAGCATCATCAGAATCATACCCATCATCTGCACCAGCATCAACAGCAGGATCCAGCATCAGCATCAGCATCATCACCATCATCCTCAGCATCATCATCAGCATCATCGTCAGCAGCAGCATCATCATCAGCATTATCATCAGCATCAGCATGAGCAACAACAGCATCAGCCTCAGCATCCGTACCATCGTCATCACCATTGTCATCAGCATCAGAATCCGTGTCGCCATCATCAGCAACAGCAGCATCATCATAATCAGCATCAGCGCCATGATCACCATCAGCATCATCATCGTTATCATCGTCATCCTCCTTCTCAGCATCATCATCACCCTCATCAGCATCAGCATCGTCATCATCGTCAGCATCATCATCAGCTTCATCCTCATCATCATCATCATCATCATCATCATCATCATCATCATCATCATCATCATCATCATCATCATCATCATCATCATCATTATCATCGTCATCCTCGTCTGTATCCTCGTCATCATCATTATCATCAGCATCATCATCATCATCATCATCATCATCATCATCATCATCATCATCATCATCGACGTCGTCATCAGCGTCATCAGCATCATCGTCATCCACATCATAACCAACACCATCGTCACAAGCATCGGCAATATCACCATGATTACCGTCAACATGAACGTCGTTGTCGTCGACACCACCACCACCGTCGCATGAACCTCATCATAATCATCAGCATCATCATCATCATCAGCATCATCATCATCTGCATCATCAGCATCATCAAGATCATCAGCATCAGCACATCCCCTTCCTCCGCCTCCTCCTCTTCTGCCTGATCATCATCAGCATCATCATAATCAGCATCATCATGTTCATCATCATTAACATCATCAGCATCATCATCATCGGAATCGTCGCCGTCATCATCAGCATGAGCATCATCATCATCATCATCATCAGAATCATCATCATCGTCATCAGCATCATAACCAACACCATCGTCACAAGCATCGCTAAATAATATCACTACGATTACCGTCAACATGAACGTGGTTGTCGTCGACACCGCCACCACCATCGTCATGAACCTCATCATCATCATCATCATCATCATCATCATCATCAACACCATCATCATCAGCATCATCATCAGCATCATCAAGATCATCGTCATCATCATCATCACCATCATAATCATAATCAGCATCATCGTCGTCGTCGTCGCCACCCAGCTGAGTTTTGCCAAAACGTTGCAAGTGGGTGAGTGGGATGTTTGCACGATCATTGGAGGTGGTCACGCGCGGATGCGCAGAAGATGAACTGCCCTACACAAACTGCACCAAATGTATAACACCACAGCGCCGGCAGGGCCACAGTTTTCTCAGAGGCCCCACCGCCTCCTCAGGCCGCCTTCGCGCCCGGCCCATGTGTGCGCGACGCCCGGGCACGTGCTCGTCGCTGCAGCGGCCATCCGCACTCTGCCTCTCGACCGAGCGGTGGAAAACGGGAAGGCCCTCATAGGCAGCAAAAGTCAGTCGATCAGTCTCCCCGGGCCGAGAGCAGCGGGTCTGGGTCTGCCGCATCCGCCACCTCGCGCTGCTCGGGCCCCTCGGCACGAGGGCGCGCGTGCACGTAGTACGCGCCCACGCTGCCGGCCACGAGGAGGAGGACCCCGCCGATCGTCGAGAGGGTTATCACCAGGGCTCGACCTAAACACTAAGGGCCCTTTCCGTGCTGTTCTTGTTTTCCCGCGTTCTGTCTTCGTTCAGCCTCTGCTGCACAACGAAGCCAGACCGAAAACGGTCCACGGAATGACTGAAACAGCGTTTAGCTCGAGCCCTGGTTATGACAAGGGCCTTGTCCGACGAGTCCTTCGGCTCCACCTGCGGCTCCGCCTGCGGCTCCGCCGAGCCCCCCGCCGAGCCCACCGCCTGGCGGGCCTCCGCAGCGGCCTGCGCCGCGACTTCCCTCTGGCGGGAGGCTGCGACCTCGTCGGCGGGGGACCAGACGACGGTCGCGTTGGCGGCAGGCAGCGGCGAAGCGCTTGGAGCCCCCAAGGGTTCGCCACCTGCGGGCGTGTGCGGGGCCACGTTCGCCAGACCGGACTCCCGTCGCAAGAGCGGTGGGGCGCTGGCTGCCGGGGAGACCGTCGGTGCGTCCGTCGGCTCGTCGGTCGGTGGCGGTGAGTAAGCAGCCGCCTCTGCGGGCGTTAGCGCGGGCGTCGGCGCGGCGGTCGGCGTCAGTGCGGGCGTCGGCGCGTCCGTCGGCGTCAAGTAAGGAGCCGCCCCTGCAGGCGTGAGTGCGGGAATCGGCGAGTCCGTCGGCGCGGGCGTTAGCGCGGGCGTCGGCGCGGCAGTCGGCGTCAGTGCGGGCGTCGGCGCGTCCGTCGGCGTCAAGTAAGGAGCCGCCTCTTCAGGCGTCAGTGCGGGAATCGGCGAGTCCGTCGGCGCGGGCGTTAGCGCGGGCGTCGGCGCGGCGGTCGGCGTCAGTGCGGGTGTCGGCGCGTCCGTCGGCGTCAAATTCGCCGGCCCAACGGGCCAGAGGCGTGCTAAGATCTAAGGCCAATATTTCTAGTTTGCGCGCGCGGAGCGGCCCCTGGGGGCCCCCAGACGAAAAGTACCCCAGCAATGTCCCGGGAGAAGCCCCCAGAGCTCTCCAGGAGAGGGTCATTTTCGACACCCCTCACGAGGATCGTGGCCTCCAAGGGGGGAGCCGCAATCGACTACCCCCCGCCCCAAGAGGCCCTCGAGAGCCCCCCAAGAGTCCCTGGGGGCCCCAAGACGCCGCCAAGGAGCCCCAAGAGACTCCCAAGAGGTCCTCAAGAGGCCCCCAAGAGGCCCTAAAGAGGGCTCCAGGGCCGGCGGCATGAGCGAAGCGATTAACTAAGCAGTCGCCTCTGCAGGAGTCAGTGCAGGAATCGGCGAGTCCGTCGGCGCGGGCGTCGATGCGCTCGTCGGTGCAGCCACTGCCGCGGACGGTCCCGGCGATGGCGCGCACACAACGCCCGATCGCGACCACACGCACGGCATAGGTGCGGACGTCGGTGTCGTCGTTGGTCTGCCCAGCGGTGCAGGAGGCGTCGATGCAACAGTCGGTGAGCCTGGCGGTGCAGGAGTCGATGCGATTGTCGGTGCGCCCGCCAGTGTGGGTGCCGATGCGTTCGTCGATGCGTCCGTCGGTGCGGGCGTCGATGCGGACGTCGATGAACCCATCGCGGGCGTCGATATGTTCGTCGGACCATCCGTCGGTGCGGGCGTCGATACGCTGCTGACATTGCCGCTGGTGTCACCGTTGGCGTCCGTCGGCACGGGCGTCACTGTGGGCATCGACACGTTGCTGCCATTGTTGGTGCTGTCGCTGATGGCGGAGTCGATGATGGTATCGACGCGGTGCGTGCTGCTGGCATTGCTGCTAGCTTTGCCGCTGGCGTCGCTGCCGGCATCGCCACTGACGTCGGTCGTATTCTCCTCGGCGAACTTGACGACGGTGGAACCCGCCGTGAACGAGTACGTCAATGGAAACCTGAGCACGACCGCCGCCGTGTTCCTGCCGCGCGCACGGATGGCCCCCGAGGCCTGCACCACGAGGGAGGCCCCGGCCTGGACAGAGTCGACGACCGCCGTCTGCTGCGGGGACCCGCTGGGCCCGGTGATGCGGAGCACGTTCCCGGGGAAGAGGCCGGTCGCGTTGGTGACCTGGATCTGAGTCGTCCCCGCCTTGGCGCTGTCCATCAGCTCGGTGTGCACCTCGATCGTCGGTGTTCCGAACCACCAAGCCGGCTCCAGGGAGGTGGTGGTGGTAGAAGTCGAGGTCGTAGAAGTCGTGGTGATGGTAGTAGAGGTCGTCGTCGTCGTTGTTGTGGTCGTGGTCGTGGTCGACGTTGAAGTCGTGGTAGTGATGGTGGTGGTGGTTGTGGTTGTAGATGTGGTAGTAGTTGTACTTGTCGTGGTCGTGGTCGAGGTCGTGGTGCTCGTGGTGGTCGTGGTCGTGGTCGTCGTTGTAGTCGTGGTGGTGGTGGTCGGGCACGCCATCACGTTGCACTTCTTTGTCTCGAACATGGGGCCGTCGCAATTCTTGCCGCCGTTTTGCGGCACGACCTTATAGCTGCGACCTCGGACCTGAGTGCCGGACCCGGCACCCGTGCCGCAGGATCTGGTGCACTCCGAGTAGTCCGACCAGTCGGTCCAGACACAGTCGATCGCGGCGGGCCTGTCTCCCTTGTCGCCCTTCTCTCCCTGGGCCCCCACGCGCCCATCGGCCCCGCTGGCTCCCGTGGCTCCCCTGGGCCCGGGCGCCCCTGGGGCTCCGGGGGCGCCCGGGGGCCCAGTGGCGCCCTGGGCTCCGGTGGCGCCCACGGGCCCGGCCGCCCCCACCGCGCCCGGGCCGCCCGTGGCTCCGGCCGCCCCCGTGGGCCCGGGGAGGCCGCGAGGCCCCGCGCTGCCCTTCGCGCCGGGCGCTCCAGTGGCTCCCTGGGGCCCTGCCGCGCCCTGGCTGCCGCGAGCGCCGGCTGCCCCCGGGGCGCCCGCGGCTCCGCTCGCGCCCGGCGGCCCCCGAGCCCCAGGAGCGCCGCGAGCGCCCGGGGCGCCGCGAGCGCCGGAAGCACCGCCAGCGCCGGGAGCACCGCGAGCACCAGGAGGGCCGCGAGCACCAGTGGCTCCTGTCGGCGGCGACGATCGAGGACAGTCCAGGGGCGGGCCGTACACGTACACGGACCCTCGACGGTATAGATGATGTTGACAGTCCGGGCGTGTTTCCTTGATTTCTGCTGCCGGGGCCCGTCATCGGGCCCCGGGGCCATCAAAAATGGATCTGGGACGCAACCTTACCCCTGGAGTTGGGAGCTCTGGGGCCTCGCCGAAGGCATGGATCATCAATGCCCCCGGATCATTACGTGTACTGCTCCCGCCGCGGCTCTTCGCCCCCGTATCGTCGCCTCCGATGTCCTGTGCTCCCCTTGGGCCCTGGGCTACCGCGAGAGCCATGAGCACCTCGACTGCCATGGCCACGTGGTCCTGGAGGTCCACGGGATCCTCGGTGGCCCCGTGCTCCCCTGTGGCCAGGAGGACCACGGGCGCCTTTTGGGCCTTGGCCTGACGCTTCGCAGCCTTCCCAGTCCGCCCTCATGCTGATATGTCTGTGCCACGACTGCACGTAGATTCGTATCCAGCGCGCAAGTACTGGGCGCAAACTGTTATGCCTGCACCAGCGCCAATGGCCACCGTGCAACGTGTGTGGGTACCACATCCAATTGCCCTTGCTTGACCTGTACAATATCTTGTACGTTCTGACCCACTGGTGGGCATTATGTCTTCCCATATTCAAGGACTTCGTAACGATCTTGTCTGATCCAAAATCCCACTGGACCCACGTGTTTTTGTGGTTGTGGTGAGCACACCAAGTCGTTCCATGCCAGTTTAGGCGGGTACGCCACATCTGTCCACGGCCATGGTCGCCCCTGTTGTGCCAATAACTCGAAGCTACGATACGGTTATCTGGTGTCACTTTGTGGTTCGTATTTCCAGACAAACGCGTGGTGGTACTACAACTGAGTCCCGAGGCTTCGTAATCGCTAGTGTTGTCCTCCACTAGACTTTGATTGGGGAACGGTGGGAGCTCGAAATCATCGTATATATCAGACGGGGTGTCATCATCTTCGAATGCTGAGACATTGGTGTCGTACTCATCATCTTGATCGAAGTCGACCAGCTCCGTAGAATACGAGTCATGCCAATCAGAGTCAATAGGAGCAGTCGCCTGGTCCCCTTCGGCATCAGCGAACATATCACTGCTCGGCTTCTCCTTCCACATCAGCCTTCCCATTCGAGTGTTGAGGCCGGTCTCGATCGCATCCTTCGCATCCTTCTGCTGGCCAACTGCTGCACCATCACTGGGGCTGGCACCCTGTACTGCCGCACACAGCAAGACCAGGAGTTTGCTCATGGATATTTCTTGTGGGACTAGAAGATGTTGGTCACATCGATAGAATGGTAGCTTAGTTGAGCCACCGCGACTGAGGAATCGCACCGCACGGCCGCCTCGTGCGGTGGCTTCGGCGCTGGTTTCTGACACCGCGTGGATCGCGCAACCCTGAGCGACCGCTTACCGACAGCGCGGATCGTTCGATGTCAGCCGATGTCAGGCCACAGGCGGCGTTCAACCTCGAACGCCCGTGCTGAGGTCGCCGCCGCGTCGATGCGGCACGAGCCTGCCACACTCCCCAAAATGCACATTCAATTTGGGCTAGATTGACAATCGATTCGCAGCGGAGTCGCCACTCATTCACACAGCGGCGCCACGACACCGCGCCACGTGGGCCCAGTAACGATGCGCACACGGTATTGCTGAACGCTTGTTTCACTACTAAGGCACAGTGGATCCAACACATCTTCGGCTTGACTCGCAACTGATTGGCTGTCGGCCCGCAGTCTGAATTCACAATTGAACTGGCACTCGGCCACCATGGATCCACAATTGATCCACAATCCGTTCACAGTCGACAGAGAGATATTCCACGCTTGACTCACACTGCGGCACTGCACGACGGTGCCGCGACACCGTGGCAGTCCGCTGGACCGCCGCGCCGACAGCAGTGGGATCGGCAGCGGCCACGGCAGAAGGAGCATAAGCCTCAACCACCAGCCCTGATGCCTATCACGCTAGCGCGCAGATTCGCACACATGTCGCGCTCGGCACGAAGCACAAAAGCCAAGTTCTTGGTGGCGGGTGCGTCACAAAAGCATCGGCGCCTCTATATGTGTGTTCAGCACATCGGCTTGAGTATGTTCATAACCGCGCCGGTGATGATGTATATGCGCATGCGTACATACAATTATGTACACGGGTTCACTAGATTCACACTCAGGGGATCACAACGTGTTGTTATACACACGTGTTTCACAAAACGACAATGTCCAGGGTCAAATTGCCGCCTACAGGCGGCTTCAGAACGGCAAAAGGCCGCCCCGTAACGGCTGCAAGACGCCCCCCGACACGCCGAAGACGGCCCAAAGAGACCCGAAAGGCTTCAAGACGTCCCCAAGAGGAGCCAAGAAACCCCACCGACACTCTCCAAGTGACGAAGGCCGCCAGCGAGGGGAAACAATTAGGAGAAATCCGTGGATCTGTTCCCCGGGCCTTTCGGCTTCAGATCGCCTCGGAAAAGCGCCCCAGGGAGCCTCAGGGAGCGTCAG